ATAAAATAACTAGCAATTAGTAAGTATTGGCAAAGCTCAATGTAATGTGGGGTCCTCATACCATGAGAGTATATCTGGAAAGTGGCAACTCCAGTAAAGACTATAACTTATTTGTGCAACCACCTTTCTGCTGTTAACTACAAAAATTTGAGCAAGAGAAGAGAGAGTAGTGTTAATGAAATGTTTTTCCCAAACACTGTTGGAGCAGTCTCGACTGCAGTTGAGGGAGAGGTGTCAGTGAGAGGACGATGCCACAGGTCAATGAAGAAAAAGGAGGAAGCTCATTACCTTCAGGTTTCTCAGATGAATAATTCTCAGATGTTTTGATTAGGGTTAAGTTTTATTTTATTTTGTTTTGCTGCAGTTGCACATTTAGCAGTAGAAAATTGATGACAGCATAACAGGATTAATAATTTTTATGTTCCTATTGGCAGGTTACACTTGATTCTTTTGTGGTGCCTGTGGAACTGAAGCACATGTCATGTTCTTGCACAGCTGGGAAAGCCCTGTGCAATCACATGGTGGGTCTTCTGTTTCAAACTGCTCACTACAGTACAATGGGCTACAAGACCGTACCATTGCCTCTGTCGTGCACCAGTTCACTGCAGACTTGGCACCGTCCAAGGACAAAGGTCAGATATTAATATTTCTTTAACTTTTTAGGTTTTAGGCTAATCACTTGTATTGATTTATTTTTAAATAAATCATTTGTGATTATAGGGAGTTGCACCAGAGGCTACAAATGATATGACAGTGTGTAAACCTGTGGCAAGGGAAAAAACCAGGATTAGGACTAGCGTGAAGTGCACACTGTACAGAGCGTATGCAGGTGAGGGAATGAGTCCCCTGCTATTCAAAGGTGGTAATGCCTTCCTAACATAGATAAGAATGAATAGCATGTATTGCTTTGTATTTCATATTAGCTTACATAATTATTAACATTTTATTATTAACATTTGTAACAGCTTTTTCATTATAAACATACAGTGAGGTGGTGACTGTCAAGGTGTGAAAGGTCACATGACATAATTAAATCTACATAAAAATTTACGTCTCTCACTTGGCAGGTCCACTTCCAGATCCTCATATTGAAGCCAGCGGGGAGAAACTAAAAGAAATCCGTCCACAACCAGGAATATGCAAGTTGCTTTATGGACTGCAAAACCTTATTTTAGTGGACTCTAAATTTGGTCCTGTGCCATTTGGTTCTGTGCTCTCATATCAGTGTCCTCCTGAAATGAGCAGAGACATAATCAAACATCCAGATGCCCCTGAGTTCCCTCAATTACCTGTTGACGGCTACAGCTTTAGGTTTCCACTAGATTTTGAGCCTAATTATAGGCAACTTTGCCATTTAGAGAGCCTTAAGATATCACGTAAGATCTGTGCTGCTATTGAAGCAGAAACCAGACAGCAATCAGAATGCCAGCTGTGGACAGAGGTACGCAAACCCCGACTTACAGCCAGCAGGTTCCGTGAAGTATGCCATGTGCGTGGTCAGTCTTCTGCCAAGGCCTTGGCAACTCGTATTCTCAGAGGAACTCCCCAGACAGCTGCTATGAAAAGAGGGTTGGATCTGGAACCTGAAATACTGAGGCAATATTCTGATTTGTTTGATGTCTCTGTGATGCAATGTGGGTTTATCATTCATCCTGACGTACCTCACCTTGGAGCTAGCCCTGATGCTAAAGTCTTCAACCCTAAGGAAATGCCTCCATTTGGGTTAGCTGAGGTAAAGAGTTGCAATGTTGACAATGTGGCACAAGTTAATCACCTAGTTACAATTAAAGGCCAGGCTTGCCTTAAGAAGAGTCATAAATACTATTATCAGGTTCAGGGCCAATTGGCTGTAAGCGGACTTCAGTGGTGTAATTTTATTACAGATACCCACACTGACTTCACAGTTGAGAGAATATTTAGGGATGAGGAGCTTATCCTCTCAATGAGACAGAGGCTCGATCATTTCTATCATGACATCTACATGGATGTTTTCTTAAATGGTAAACCTTGAGAAAATGATTGTTATAAAATTGATAGGCCTTTTGTAAATACTCTCCCTATCACAAATGGGCTAAAGTTGTGAACTTGAGGCCATTTGTGTATGCTCCATGTTCATTTTGTAATATAATTATTCTATTAATGTTTGCAATTGATGGCCACAAATCTTCTTTGTTCCACAATAAAAACTTTAATTTGAACATTTTCTCTCATTCAAATACTTCATTGACAGATGTGTAAAATGTACAAGAAAGTGCAATTTAAATGTAAAGGTTGTAAATATGTATCTTCCTCAAGATAAGCTATTTACAATAGATTTGATAGAACTGTACACATCTATTCATTTATTCAATAATAAAAACAAATACAGGTCATATATATGGAGAGATTTTGTTTATAACACAACTGTTTACATTAATGCTCATCCAAGGGCTGTGACTTGCAGGAGAAGAGGCTCTACACAGGTTTGTCGCCTTTTAGATCCAGAGGTCCCTGATAGTTTGAAAGTAGACAGCAGATGACCCACAGCTGATTGACTGAGCCTACCATAGAAAGAGGAACAAGACCATCCCAGATATGGTACTCTTTCACCCTTCGTATGGCTCTTTCAACTAAAATCCTCAGCCGAGCAATAGCCTGGGTTTTCTGGGTGTCCTCCATGCTGAGTTGGGTGGATTTTTTAAGTGGAGGAATGATAAGCGTTGCTCCCACCTCTGACAGAATCTTCTCTATCTGGAAACCCTTGTCGGCCATAACCCCATCTCCAGGCTGAAGTAACGTTAATATCTGTGATTTTCGAGTTATTTCTATGTCGGAGATGGAGCCTGTGTACAGTCTGGATACAAATGTTATAATCCCACAAGGAGCAATGCCAATCAGACCTTTAAAGGTGGTGTGGTTTTTGTAGTTTGAAAAGGTTTCTGACTGTAGTGTGAGTGAGGATGCAGTTTCACAACGGATCTCAGTGCAGTCTATAATCGCACGCACGTGAGGGCAGTACTGTTTAAATTTGTCAGGCATGGTGCGCTGAACTTGCTCTCTTGTCATCCACAATGACAGCGAACCAAGAACCAGGTAAAGGTAACTAGTCCATGTTAAAATGGTGCGGCTAACTGTAGACAAACTGACCTCAAAGATGGTCGACAAAGTCTTCTCCTGAAGCCCAGCTGCAACACGGCAAAGAAACATAAACAGTTTATCAATGAGTGGAAGTTTTCGCTGTGGACTAGGTATTTCTTCTGCAGTCCGCTGTGCCTTGGACCAATACACTAGCCTTGAAGCAGAAGGGTAAACTGACTCCCAAAACACATTGAAGACCTCTTTTGAGGTGAATTTGGTGTAATAACGGAAATCTTCATCTGTCAAACAAAACCTGAAAATCACTGGCTGCTTCTTTTGAAGAGTTAGCTCCTGGATTTCCATTTCAAGTGATAACACTTGGAACTCCAACTCTTTAATTCTCTGTATGGCACCGTGTAGTTCACCTAAGGGAAAGAAAAATAAATGTTAATAGACTTCACACAAACATCTATAATTTTTCACTGTCCTCATTACAGGATACACGTGTGCGTGTGTGCAGCCATTTTTGTGTTAAACTCAAAAAACACTATATTTTCTAGACGGTTACAATGTGATTCATTGCCATATAATTTTTCTACAAGACACTTTATGTAATACTAACCCGGAAAAGAATGACAGGCATAGTCATGGTCTTTTGCCATTGGACCTGCAGGCAATTTTTCCTTTGAGGAGTCCTCAGGGTCAGCAATCTTCTGTGAGTCATCCTGAACAGCAGCACTGAGAGACTTTTTGGTTCGCCTGTAAACAGACTCACGAGCTTGTGAACTTCTCCCTAGATGTGAAAAATATGTTGAGTCACTTCATGATCATAATACATTTTTGTTTATATTTTTAAAAACTGTTCAACAATGTTCTCCTTCATTTACCCCAATCATTCCAGTGAAATCTAGAAGGCACAGCTCCTTGTCTAATCTGTTTTCTTCCACTGGCTGTTGTACTTATATCCTCTGGGGTAAAGTGCTGGCTGCAGACAAAGGTGCTCCCTCTGAGGATTTGAAACATTTTTCCTTCATCTCTCCTGATTGCTCTTACCCAGCGGGCACGTTTTTCCACGTCCACAGGAAAGTCATGGAAGCTCAAATAGGGTTGTTTTTGTTTGTTATTTGAACAGCATGGCACACTACAATAGCAACGGTTTGATGATTGTGCCATGCTTGTTTGATAGATGGGTCGTTGCTGAGAAAGATGGAAAAATACAACAAAACAAAAAGAGAAATTATGAATCACATCAGAATATGTGAATGATGCATGTAAATCTTTTAAGTCAATATTTAAAATACTATTCTAAACAACGTTGTTGGAAGCTGTCCTTTATTTTCCATTAATACAGAAAATGAACCTCTAAACGTTACATCACTGACAGGCGGCGGTGTATATGTTTCCTAACTGTGGCTAAAGCTGCTGCTAGCTGGTTTACTCATGATCGGAGGCTGGTT